AAACATATTTTACCCAAGTTGTAGGACAACCGCGTGTTAGCGGGCGCTTCAAATGCCTTAAAAACCTTCTTGAAGCGTAAATAAGAACCTCTTACCTATTTTCTCTAAATTTTTAAAGACTTAATTTGTTAGAGCCTTTTTAAATTATAAGTTTTTTTAGTTTCTTTAAAAAAATTAAGGGGCGACTCTTTTCTAAGTATTTTTCTCAAATTGTTTTATACTTAGAGCATTTCAAAAAGTGATTTTTCTAGAAATAGTCAAATTACGGCATAACAGAAATGACGACTTTGCTGGGGAAGTAATAGGTTCTAACCACAACAGACTTATGTTAATTATTAAGGTTTTAACATATGCTTACTTGTTTGCTTTATTTTACATGCCTAATGCTTCATTTTTCATGCTTATGTGATATAAACTGCTTATTTGTTATTGTTTATCTAAAATGTTTATTTATTACTGCTTTATATATAATGTATATTTGTTACTGCTTTATAAACTGTCATTCCGTTCATACTTCTTCCAATTCTGGAAAATTCACACAATCACATGTACACGCGAGGTGTGTTTTGCGTACCCGCAAATTTCTTTCAAAATCTCAAAAGTTAGGAGAGTTGGCATATGCGTGGGGTGTCCGGATCTTTTTTCGTATGACCGCGTAACCTCCTCACTCGAGTTGCCCACTCGGGAACCTTATGTCTAGTAAGTCAAATCTTAGAAGACATAAGATAGAGCTACGCCACCCCTCAATTTAAGTCATGCATGCATACACCTTAGGTGGATCAATCCCGGGTATCGATTCCACATTTAAGAAAATCCACCCTTAAGTCGACGGGTTTCACAACCCAATGACCAACAAGCATGTTTTGTGCAACGTGATAATGATAGACGGATCCAAGCCTAATTTTGATATAGTGAGTTTGAAAATTATGTGTTCATTCTTGTTATTTTTTTTAGGATGGATTCAGTCCCCCAAGTGCCCAAAATTAGGATGGTCGAGGGTTTTCCACGCAAATTGAAGACCTGGTGGGAAAATTTCACTCCAAGTGAAAAACTAGCAATTGCAAGAAGGTTGGGGTGCCTCACTATGCTATTCAAGGTTAACCTGGACAAACATGTGATTAGAGCATTGGTTCAGTTTTGGGATCCAGACCGTGTTGTGTTCGCCTTCAAATACTTTGAACTAACACCTACATTGGAGGAAATTTGTTATTTCACCAATTTGAAGTATCGAGGAAGAGGTCAAATTATTCCACACAGTCAATTAGGGAAGAAATTTCTTTGCTACTTAGGACTGAAAAATGAAAAGAACCTTCGATGCATCGAACATAATTGGGTTTCTTTAGATTACTTATATGAAAGGTATGGACGCTTGGATAGTTACAAAGTGTTCATGAAAGGATTCTCTTGCACTCATGGTCATTGGCAAACTAGACGTCCTATCACATTTGTTGTGGCTTTACTAGGAACTTTAGTGTTTCCACGAGAACATGGTCATATTAGCACCTGCATATGTTTTGTGGCTCGAGTACTTTTTGAAGATGTTAATGGCGAAGAACTCACTCTGGTTCCCATGATTTTAGCAGAAATATTTTGAGCTCTTGGGAAATGCAAAAGAGGGGAAGCAAACTTCTTTGAAGGTTGCAATCTTCTTTTACAAATGTGGACAATGAAACATTTTCACCAGCGTAAAAATATGGATGGCATATGCTTTAGTAACATAAATCATATTGATAGTTTTTACGATAGGACGAGAAGGTTTGTGTCTCCGGTTGGTACTGATGACTGGTATGGATATCTGGCCTCCCGCACTAGTGACCAAATTCAATGGAAATATCCATTGCTCTCATGTTCCGCTGCCTATATATGATGTAGGAGGCTTTACTATATCGAGCTTATTGGGTTGAAAGGTCTCCAACCATATTCTCCGGTGTGCGTGCTTCAACAGTTTGGTCAAACACAAGTAATCCCTCTTCGGGCAAACATAAGGGTTTCTGAAATTTCCTTCGAACCAAACTTTGAAGTCCCTAGATCCAGAGAGATTATTCATGAATGGAACAATATTTTCACGATAGACATAGGAAATAGGCTAGAAAGAGAAATTCCAGAATATCAAGTGTGGCTTCGAGAAGATCGTCATAGCATGAGTCCAGAAGGCGAACAAGGTTTTGAGGATATTGGGATGACGATTTGGATAAGACATTCTTATCTTGGAACCAAAGTGGTCACTCCTAAAATGTGGGGTCAAATGGAAACTATAATGCAATATTTGGACAATGCGGGAGCAGGGCCTAGCAACGTGGGAGCGTCAATTTCACTTCCTCCACCAACGTGATTGATAACAAATTTAGTCCGAGTCTTAGATTTGTCTTTATATTGTGTCATCTTTTATGTATTTTAGTTTATTCTCTCTTTGCTGTACCATTTTATTGGTATTTAATGAATATTTGGTCTTTGTTTTCCAAACTCGAGTTGTCATAAATTAATGGCTTGGATCAATCTATCATATTCACGTTATGTTTGATGTTTAGGCCTACCTTTGGCATAAAAATGTCACAAATCTAGGGCGCGATATAAACTGTTTGTGTGTTGCTTGATATTTTTGTTTTGTGTTGTGATGTGTCATTTTGTCTAAAGCAGAATTAATCCACTCTTTTTTTAGAGCACCTTAAGCATATATTAAAATTCACAACAACAAAGTCCGTCCAAATTACTTCTGAAGTGTTGTTCAAGTTTCTCAGAAATATATAAACCGTCTACTCTAAAAATCTCCTAAGTTTTTATTCGTCCATCATAAGAAAGTTGATTTGCTAGAATGTCTGGAAAAAGTGTCAACGCACCAATCCCACCCATTACTTTGGTTAGTAATGAAATAACTGAAGAATCAATGTTCAAAAAATTTATCGAGACTAAAGAGAGGATAGCTGCAGTCAAAAGGAGACTTGCAATATTGGACCAAACTGAATGGATGCTACGAGAGATCATTATTGAGGTTGACATGGAAATAGCCTCGGTGAAAAGAAAGATTGCAAAAATTGATCAAGAGATAATTAATATCACTAAAGCGTCTGCAAAGATCCTTGAAATTGAAGGGGACATTAAGAAACTAAATTTTGGGAACGCTTCCTCCATGAGGGGAAATGGTAAAACAAAAGAAGGTTCAGATGACGAGAGCACTGGATCGTCACCCTACAATTGAAGCGGAAGGAAAGAAGCTTTGGGTAGATTTAGGTTCATGTAGCGCATTTCTCAAGTTTGTTATTTTGTTTTTAAAATTTTTATTGTAGTCAAGAACTACGCGAGACTTGAGCCCATAAGGGGTATATAGGAATCTCTTTTAGAGTCTAGTCTCTCTATCAATTTTGGGAAGGGTACGTTTAAGTTATCTTATGTAATTCGAACTACGTCGTGCCTGAATTCCCTTGGGGGATACGTAGGCAGCCTACTTAAGGTTCGGTCCCTATCTTTTCAATTTTTATTCTCCTTTTTTAGTGAATGATTCTGAAGAGTTCCACATACAAAAGCATATGAGTGGAAGAAATTAGCAAGATTCTATGCTAGTCGACCTTTCAATTCAATTACAAAAAGATTTCTTTCCATTTGAGTCCTCCCATTCACCCGTAATATTTTCGTGGATTAATCTTTTTGAAGCAAAATGACACTTGTGTGTTTATTTTTATGTCATATTATTTGCATATCTCGTTAAAAACAAAAACTAACACCTATGTCTTTTGAGTTGTTCTTCTCTACAGGTAAAGACTGATCTATGTTGAAATCAAACTGGCCGACCATCCCTACTTTACAAGATCCAAAGCAATTACACCATCCTTCCCTGATCATTTTTTGGATAAAGGCAAAAGCAAAATGACGGGTACTTCTGAAGAAACAGGAATAGTGGATGTGACCATCAGAAATGTTGAACTCACTGATCAGAGTGAGTTGATCTCTCAGTTAATGCAACGAATTGCAGACATGCAAGAAGAGCTTCAACATACCAAAGATCTGGCCAAACTGGCCATTGCATCGAATGAACCTCCCCACGAAACTAGAAGACCTCCTTCTCATTTTCCATCACTAAGTTCTTCATTACCCAACTATTTTCCTACGTATACCACATAACCTATCACTTCCACCCCTAACCCTCATACTATCAACTTAACTGTATCCAACGCTCCTTATGTCAGCATTTCTTACCAAACACCACCACCACCACAAAATCAGAACCAAACACCTAACACTAATCACTCCCAAAACTTCATGCCAACCTATCAAATCCCACCCCCAGTCTCCAGTAATCCATGTGTTTTGCCTAGCCAACCTGCATACCCTTCCATAACATTCCAAACTCCACCAGCTTATACAATCCCTGAACCATCTCCTAGCTTTCCCGTTCAACCGAAGTTGGATCACTATGAAGAAATGGAGAATGAGTGGAGGTTGAGAGAAGAAAAACGTGAACAAGAAATGAATGTTATGAAGGATGCCATCTCCGAAGCAGTAAAAAGTGTCCAATCTTCGAGGAAAATAACAGGACCTGAGTATGAGGACTTTTGCATGCACCCTAACTTGGAAATACCCGAAGGTTGTAAAATTCCAAAATTTGAAACCTTCAATGGTATTGGCAATCCCATGGCTCACCTACGAGCTTATTATGACAAACTCGTAGGTATCAGGAAAAATGATGCACTAATTATGAGGTTGTTTAGTCGAAGCCTCAGTGGGGAGGCGTTAGAATGGTTCACATCACAAGAACTCCGTCAGTGGTCTACATGGGGGCTTATGCCAAAGATATTTTGGAAAGATTCCAGTTTAATGTCGAAGTTGTCCCTGACAAATACTATTTGGAAAAAATCAAGCAAAAGACCACGGAGGACTATCGTGAATATGTGTGCCGTTGGAGGAAAGAAGTTGTAAAGGTACAACCTGTGATAACTGAAAGGAAAATAACCTATGTTTTTATTCGAGCTCAAGAGCCCTAGTATTATGAAAGGATGTTGCCCATGATGGGACAGAAGTTTTCGGAGCTGATCAAAACGGGAGAAGCCATAGAGGATGGCCTTAAGTCTGGAAAGGTTACAAGTTTCACTGCTTTGCAGGTCGCCAACAAATCCTCACCATCCATGGCCACAGGATTCGCTAGGAAAAAGAAAGATGACGTGTCTGCTGTATCTTTTAGCCCAAGGCCAAGGCCGCAAAGGTATTTTGGGTCTGGTTCTGCCATTGGAAACTCCAACCGATTCCCCACATCAAATATGTACCCACCATCTCCACAAGCTCCAATCCCAATCTACTATGCACAACAGAACTACCAAGCACCACCGCCTATCTACCAAAATCAACCACCAACCTACCAAAATATACTACCAAATCACCAAGCCAATGCAAACAATCTACCCCGCCCTAACCTCGAAAAAAAGCCTCCCAGGGTTTTCACTCCTTTGGCAGAAACACGTACCCAACTCTTTGAGCGTCTACGAGCGGCAGTATTGATCCAACCAGTAGACTCAAGAACAATTAATCCCACAACAAAGTTCTTCGGAGCGGATCAACGTTGTGCGTACCATTTTGGAGGGGCAGGACATGATACAGAAGAACGTATCAATCTGAAACATAAGAATCAAGACTTGATCGATAACAGATTCATCACTCTCCAAGCCCCTGCCCCCAATGTGAACCTTAACCCATTACCGAATCATGGAGGAGCTACTATCAACATGATTGAAAGAGACGAATATTGGTTTGCTAATGGAACTATCGGTGAAGCAAATGTCTACTCACTTATACCAACATTGGCCTCATTAACCATAAAGGCCCGTCCAGAGTTTGTTGTAATAACTGCACCTCATCAGGCATTTGCTTTGGCAAAGGAAAGAAGCAACGAGAAGCCCAAAGAAAAGTTTGTTGTCCAGGCGGCTACTGCTCAAGGGATGACACGTTCTGGAAGATGTTATGTTCCGGAAGAGTTAGCTCAGGAAACACGAAGAAAGGAGAACCAAAAAAGGCCAATCACAGAAGGTGAGGCCGAAGAATTTTGGCAAAGAATGCAGCCTAAGGAGTACTCCATTGTCAAGCATTTGGAGAAGACTCCAGCTCAAATTTATGTTTGGGCTTTATTAATGAGTTATGAGTACCATCGAAAACCACTGTTGAAGGTACTTGATGAAGCGTATGTACCGACGAGAACAAGTGGTGAGAATCTGGCCACTATGGTTAGTCATGTCATTAGGAGTCACCAGATCTCTTTTCAAGAAGAGGAGTTACCAATCGAAGGAGTGATGCACAACCATGCCTTGTATATCACCGTCAAATGCAGGGACAGGTTTGTAGCGCGAGTATTGATTGATAATGTCTCAGGACTCAATATCTGCCCATTATCAACCCTTACTCAGCTAAATTATGATGTAGGGAAAAATTTTCAAAGTCGCATGAATGTAAGGGAGTTTGATGGTTCGCAAAGAGAGACCATGGGGAAAGTATACTTGTGTATCCAAATGGGGCCTACAGAATTTATAACTGTGTTCCAGGTGATGGGTATATCTACACGCTACAACTTATTGCTAGGAAGACCATGGATCCATGCTGTTGGAGCAGTCCCATCCACATTGCATCAACTTTTGAAGTTCATCTGAGAGGATCATGAAATCGTCATCCATGGTGAAAGGAGTGATCGTAGTTACCCTGGTTTCTCAACTCCAGTTATTGAAGAGTCTTCTCAGGGTACTGACTTTCACATGGTGGAGATAATGAATGTTGCTTTTAAAGATACGACACCGCAAGTACCAATGCCACCAGTGTATAAAATGCTAGCCACGACTATGCTGAGAAGTGGTTTCGAGCCTGGGCATAGGTTAGGCACGAATTTGGATGGCATATCTGAACCTCTTTCTATCCCACTTCAAATTTTCCGCATCGGAGTCGGTTATACCCTAACAGAGAAAGAATTGTTCAAAGCAGAAACAATGAGGAAGCATGACTGTGATATACCGAAGCCTATTCCAGTATTGTACCAGTCATTTGTTGCTAAAGCTGTAGAGCCTGAGATTGATGGTCTAGTGGAAGGGATGGGAAGATTGTTTGATGAAGAAGATTGTGCTGTGATCTCGGCAGAATGCACCACAACACCCACCATCCGAGATGCCGAACCTACAGAGATGCTACAGAATTGGATGGGCACTCCACTTATGATACATCGAATGGCTTGGTAGACAAAGACAAGATTTGAAGTTTTATTTTTTTTGAAAATCGATGTTGTTCGGACGAGGCCCGAAACCACCATTTATGTCACTTTTTTTTCATCGTAATGTTTAAAAAGGAAATGACTCATGAGTCATGACCAAAGTTTGTATGCCTTTTTAAAATTCCAATGAAAGCCTCGTTTATTATAAATTGATTATCTTGTCATTGCGAATTATTCTCCAATAAATACATTTAAACTCTTTATATCTAACATGGTTGATTTGTTATTCTTTTCAGTAAAAATAAATCTAAACCTACCAATGTCATGACATGACACGAACACGGCGAACCAAGTAAGGTCGATGAAGATGAATGTGAAAAATATGATGAGGAAACTATGATGCCTGAACACCTTACCGAGGACTTGAGGCAACTTTAAGACGATAAAAAGCCCAACCTGGATGAAACAGAGACAGTAAACCTGGGAGATGACTAGTCGGTCAGAGAAACCCGAGTTAGTGTCCATTTGGCAGCAACAAAAAAAGAAGAATTGGTCAAGCTGCTCAGACAATACATCGATGTGTTTGCCTGGTCTTATGATGATATGCCAGGGTTAAGCACTGATATTGTTTCCCATAAGCTGCCTATCAATTCAGAGTACTATCCAGTAAAGCAGAAAACCAGAAAGTTCAAGCTCGATCTTAGTTTAAGGATAAAAGAGGAGGTCATGAAGAAGATAAAATCAAAAGTCGTTGAAGTGACCAAGTATCCCACTTGGCTGGCTAACATTGTTCCAGTGGCGAAAAAAGATGGAAAAATTAGGATATGTGTGGATTATCGGGATCTCAACAAAGCGAGTCCAAAAGATAATTTCCCCTTGCCGAATATCCACATACTCATCGATAATTGTGCTAAGCATGAGCCGTAATCTTTTGTGGATTGCTTTGCGGGATACCACCAGATTCTAATGGATGAAGAAGATGCAGAAAAAACAGCATTTATGTCTACCATTATCGAGTGATGTCGTTCAGCCTCAAGAATGCTGGAGCCACTTACATAAGAGTTATGACCACCATTTTCCATGATATGATCCACAAAGAAATTGAGGTATATGTGGGCGATGTCATCATAAAATCCCACGAGAGTTCGAATCACCTGACACACTTGGAAAAGTTCTTTAACAGGTTACGTAGGTATGATTTGAAGTTGAACCCAGCCAAATGTGCATTTGGAGTACCTGCAGGGAAGTTACTCGGATTCATAGTTAGCAGAAGAGGTATCGAGCTTGATCCTTCCAAGATCAAGACAACTTAAGATTTACCTCCTCCAAAGACTAAGAAGGAAGTAATGAGTTTTCTTGGGAGACTGAATTACATCAGTCAATTCATAGCTCAATCAATGGTGATATGTGAGCCTATATTCAAGTTACTACGAAAAGATACACCAACCAAATGGACCGAAAAAGGTCAGAAGGCTTTTGACACCATCAAGAGTTACCTTCCGAATCCACCAGTATTGGTGCCACCACGTGCAGGCAGTCCTTTGCTATTGTATTTATCCATCTCTGATAATGCGTTCGGGTGTGTGTTGGGACAACATGATGAGACCGGAAGAAAGGAGAGAGTTATATACTATTTGAGTAAAAAGTTCACATCCTATAAGGCTCGTTACACCCTCTTAGAGAGAACTTGTTATGCCTTGACTTGGGTTGCTCAGAAATTGAGACATTATTTGTCGGCTTATACAACACATCTCATTTCGAAGATGGACCTGCTCAAGTACTTATTTCAGAAAGCAATGCCCACTGGAAAGTTAGAAAAGTGGCAAATGTTGTTGAGTGAGTTCGACATTGTGTACATGACTCAGAAAGCAATCAAGGGGCAGGCCTTGGCAGATCTGAAAACCCAGTAGATGAAGGATATGAACCACTTATAACATATTTCCCTGATGAAGAAGTATTGTTTGTAAGGGAAGACATATCAGAATCATATCCTAGGTGGAGAATGTTCTTTCATGGAGCAGTGAACTCTATAGGATCAGAAATTGGAGCAGTGTTGATATTTGAATCGGGGAAACATTATCCAGCAACAGCTAAGCTTAGATTCCGATGCACTAATAACATGGCTGAGTACGAAGCATGTATTCTTGGCATTAGAATGGCTCTTGACATGAATGTTCAAGAATTACTAATAATTGGTGATTCGGACTTGTTGATTCATCAAGTTCAAGGAGAATGGGTTGTGAAAAATCCTAAAATCTCAACTTACATACAATTGATACGAAGATTATGCAAAAGATTTAGGAAGACCGAGTTCAGACACACGCCGAGAATACAGAACGAGCTTGTTGATGCCCTTGCAACCATATCATCCATGATACAACACCCAGAAAAGAGTTATATCGATCCCTTGAGATAGTTTTAAAAGAACAACCAGCACATTGTTCACATGTGGAAGCAGAATGGGATGGGAATCCATGGTATATCGATGTGAAAAATTACTTAGAAGCTGGCGAATATCCAAAAAAAGAAACAAGTATTCAGAAGAAAAAAAATCCGAAAAATGGCAAACAACTTCTTTTTGAATGGAGAGGTCTTTTATAGGACTCCTAATCTAGGGTTACTAAGATGTGTGGATGTTGCAGAAGCTACGAGATTGCTTGAAGAAGTGCATGCTAGAGTGTGTGGGATGCACATGAATGGGTTTACAATAGCAAAGAAAATCTTAAGGGCGAGATACTTTTGGATGACTATGGAAATTAATTGTGGTCGATTTGTCCAAAAGTGTCATAAATGCCAGGTACATGGAGATATGATCAAAGTATCTCCCCACGAGCTCAATGCGATAAGTTCCCCTTGGGCATTTACAGCTTGGGGCATGGATGTTATTGGACCGATTGAGCCTACCGCCTCCAATGGTCATAGGTTCATTTTGGTTGCCATTGATTACTTTACAAGGTGGGTCGAAGTTGCTTCCTACAAAGCTGTGACAAAGAAAGTTGTGGCCGATTTAGTTCGCAACAATTTGATATATAGTTTTGGAGTTCCTGAGTCTATCATCCCAGACAATGGAGCAAATCTGAATAGTCACTTGATGAAAGAGATATGTGAACAATTCAAAATTACCCACTGCAACTCAACTGCATATCGTCCTCAAATGAATGGAGCTATGGAAGTTTCTAATAAGAACATAAAGAGGATACTGAGAAAGATGATCGACAACTACAAATGTTGGCATGAAAATTTGCCTTATGCTTTGCTAGGTTATCGCACCACAATCCGAACCTCAACTGGAGCAACTCTTTACCTATTGGTATACGGAACAGAAGCAGTGATACCAGCTGAAGTTGAGATACCATCTTTAAGGATTATTCAGGAAGCTGGATTGAGCGATGCCGAATGGGTTCGTGATCGATGTGAGCAGTTAAAGTTAATTGATGAGAAAAAAATGAGTGTTGTTTGTGATGGCCAGTTATATCAACAAAGAATGATTCGCACTTTCAACAAGAAAGTAAGAGTTCGAACATTTAAGGTAGGCCAATTGGTGTTGAACGCATTTTCCCTCATCATGACGAATACAAAGGGAAGTTTGCACCTAATTGGCAAGGACCGTATGTTTTCCACAAAGTATTATCAAGAGGAGCTTTGGTTCTAGCAGAGATGGACGGTCAGGTGTGGCGCAAAGCTATCAATTCAGATGCCGTCAAGAGATACTACATTTGAAGGATGCTATTTCTTTCCTTTATTTCCTTGTAATTGCAGTTTGTTTGTAATCATTATTGCCTTTATGTTTTGAAACATTCCCTTTGTACTTGAACTAAGTTCGACTTGAATTCTCGAGAATGATATACGTAGGCGGCCTATGTCGGCCTCGGTTGTATCCTTATCAAATTTTCTATTTTTGTCAATTCTCGAGATGGGAACTATGTTTGACCTGATTCCTGCCTCAACGGGATACATAGGCGCCACAAGGGTTCCGTCATATTTCCAATAATATTTCCATTTCCCCTCATAATGGAAACTGGGATAGAATTTTTGAGAGGACCTCAAAAATTCTACAAGAAGATTCATTTCCTACAAACAAGAGTCAAGGATCATATTGAAATGTGCAACTGGGAATAATTTTGAGGAGATCTCAAATTCAAGACTCCCATGGGACAAAAATTTTTAGAAGGACCTCAAAAATTCCATCAAGGATACTCGGACCTTCGAAGTCAACTTCAACTGCCTCAAATTGATGTGTTCTTAAAGGGTTTTAAGTTGCCAGCAAGCTATCTATCATGTCAAAATTTGAGACAAAGGGTTTTGTTCGTGTCGTGCATGTCGTGACAGTTAATTGGCAGAGATTTTCTTTAAAACTATTTTTTTAAAAACATCATACCTAGCAAATGTTTTAATTTAAATATGATCATGTCTTTTGTCTATTGCGATTCATTGGATCTACCAGAAAAAGTT